AAAGACTTTAAGGTCCTACCAAAAAAAATCTTTATACTCCTCTCGTACCCTCAACTCATTCAGCATTCTTAGCAACTAGACAATGAATTGAACCCGCGCAAGGGCGATGCCGTCGCTCGGTTCCGTTCGGTGCGCTATGCTCCCTCCACTCTGATTCGCTCCAGCATCGATTTATTTGATCTAGGGAACTTGTGTTCCACTCTATATGAGTCACATACACAACAATCTGGACCTTGGTGAATATTCACCCCTTGGGAGAAAAACATAACTGGGAAACCACACTGTCTAGGACCAATGTGTTGGAACACATCATTTCTAACATCTAGAGATGTTAATCAAGTTCAAGCAACGCTTGAACATATCCATTGTGATCGGCGTTGTCAACATGTCTGCTACATTCTTTGAGGTATGCACCTTTTCTAACAATAGCTCTCCCGAAGTAACCAACTCTCTTATCTTGTGAAATTTCACATCAATGTGTTTGGTTCTTGCATGATAAATCTGATTCTTCGCTAAGAAGATGACGCTTTGACTATCACAGTACAGCTTCATTTCATCTTGCTTGATCCTAAGTTCCCCAACAAGCCCCCTCAACCACAATAATTCCTTAACTACCACAGTTGCCGCCATGTACTCTGCTTCAGTTGTAGATAATGCCACAAGTGATTGCACTAATCCAACATATTGTCCCACCTACAATTGTGAAAACATAACCTATATGGGGCCTTCTGTCATCTAAGTCCCCTGTATAATCTGTATCTATGTATCCCTGAACTGAAACATCATCATGTTGTCTCTCAAACATGATCCTACACTCCATTGTACCTTTCAAGTACCTGAAAATCTACTTTACAGCTCTCCAATGCTCTCTACCGGGATTAGCCATATACTTGTTAACCATACTAACTGCATGTGTTAGATCTGGTCTTGTATACACCATTGCATATATCAAACATCCAACTACGCTGGCATAAGGCACCTTTGCCATCTTTGCCATTTCTTCATTCTTTGGGCACTGATTATTAGACAATCTGAAGTGATTTGCTAATTGTGTAGCAACTAGTTTTGCATCTAACATGCTAAACCTATCCAACACTTTCTTCAAATAATTTTTTTGAGACCCATAATTTTCTGGTCTTTCTATTTCTGTTGATCTCCATGTCAATTATTTTCTTAGCCGATCCCAAGTCTTTCATATCAAACTGCTCAACAAAGATTTTAATTTGTCTACCTCATTTATGTTCTTAGTAGCAGTTAGCATGTCGTCCACATACAACATTAAGAAAACATGAATCATCTTCAAGAACTCTATAGTAAACGCAACAATCATACTCACACGTCTGTAGCCAATTTGAATCATATGAGAGTGAAACTTCTTATACCATTGCTATGGAGACTGCTTAAGCCCACTTCTTCAATTTACATATAAGATTCTTTGTTCTTGGTTCCAAGAACCACTCCGGTTGCTCCATGAAAATTTGCTCCTCCAAATCACCATGAAGGAAAGCAATCTTCACATCCAACTGCTCTAATTTCAAATCAAAATTAGCCACCATTGCCAAAACAATCTTGATAGAAGTGTCTGACGATCGGAGAGAAAGTTTCATCATAATCTACTCCCTTTTTCTGCGAGTATTGCTTTTTTCTTTCTGTACTCCCACTTACACCCTATCGGTTTTCTTCTCCTCTGGTCCACAAAATCCCAAGTATCATTTTTATGTAGTGACTCAATTTCCTTCGTCATAGTCTCTATCCATTTACCTTTCTCCTGACTATCAATGACATCTTGAAAAGTTATAGGATCGCTATTGCTGGTAATGAGTGCATAAGAAATCGAATCCTCAAATCCATACTTCATTCGTGGCCTGATAGTGCAACGTAGTCTATCTATGGCAATATTATGATACTACTCTACTTCTGACCCAGACATATCGGCTCCTTGGAATTTAATCTCCGTGTCAACATTGTCTACCTCTACTTGCACCACTTGGCTGTTGTTGTTGCCCTCGTCTGAGCTTCTCTTTATCTGAAGAAGATTTAAGCATAAATGTGTCGTCAAAGACTGCATCCCTACTTATCATCATCTTCCTTGCCTCTGGATCCCAAAACTTGTAACCTCTTACACCTTTCACATAGTCTAGAAAAATGCACTTTCTTGATTTCGGATCAAGTTTGGAACTCTGATCACTAGATACATGCATATATGCCGGATACTCGAATACTCTCAATTCAGAATAATTAACTTTATTACCTGTCCAAACTTCCTTTGCAACTTTCTCATCTATTGCTGCTCGTGATGATCTATTTATAACATAACATGCCATGTTACTGCTTCTACCCAAAAACTCTTCGAAAGCCCTGCATTTAGCCTCAAATATCTTGTCCATTCTGCAATTGTTTTGTTAATCCTCTCCCCTACACTATTCTGCTGCGGTGTTTTGCGAACTGTATAATGCCGTTGAATACCATGCTCCTCACAAAATTTCAGAAACTGTGAAATTGTATACTCTGTACCGTTGTCTGTCCTCAGATACTTAATTTTTTTTGCCTATTTGGTTCTCTACTTTTTCTTTCCACAATCTGAACTTAGCAAAGACATCAGGCTCATGCTTCATGAAATATACCCAAACTTTTGTAGAGAAGTCATCGATGAAAGTAATAAAATACTGAGATCCACCTTTGGACAACTTCCTTACTAGTCCCCAAACATTAGAGTTTGCTTTCCCATCTTGAACTGTACTTTGGACTGTTTTCCAAGTACACAGAATTTGCAGAAATCCAACTTGCATGATTTTACCCCTTCAATAAATTCCTTTTGTGAAGCTCAATCATGCCATGTTCTCCTATATGCCCTAGTCGTATGTGCCATAGAAGAGTGTCATCTGACTCGGATTCTACTGTAGCAACTCCACCTACAACTGTATTCCCGAGTAATTTTTAAATATCTCCTGGTAATTTGTGACCTTTCATCACAATCATAGCTCTTCTTCACTGTTAGAGCCCCACACTCTTGACTTATAAGAATAACCATTTATGTTCAAAGTACCTAAAGAAATTAGATTTTTTCGCAACTCAGGTACATGCCTAACACCCTGCAAGGTACTTATCACACCATCAAACATTTTAAATTTTATGGACCTCATTCCAATGATCTTATATGATGCATCATTATCTATCAGAACAGATCCAAAATTACCCGGACGATATGAATCAAACCAATCCCGGTGAGGATATATGTGATATGAACAGGCTGAATCAAATACCCAACAGTCATGTAATTTTTTAGAATTAACTGCAGAGACTGATAGCATGTCTCAATCTCTAGAATCCAAATCTCCTTCTGCAACAATAGCTGAGCTTGAGGATCCATCACCTTTCCTTTCATCATCTTGTTTCTTATTCGGACAGTCCTTCTTAAATTGGCCCATCTGATGACATTTGTAGCACTTGACGTTTTTCCTATTTTGATTCCTAGATTTTGATCTCGTGTTCCTTTTGTAAGAACCACCCCTGTCTTTCCTTCTCCTACGATCTTGGTAGCTCTTTACGATCAGCCCTTCTTCCTGTGAACTTTCGCCAGTACGCAGTTTTCGCTGGTTGTAGGTCAACAGGGCTGATGTGACTTCCTACAATTCGAGTTTCTTTACCCCACGTCAACGTGGTCACCAGGTGGTGGTACGAAGGAGGAAGAGAGCACAGCAATATCATTGTCTTGTATTCATCATCAAACTTGATTTCGAGACGCAATAAATCGTTGATAATTTGATTGGACATATTGGTATGTTGAATCAGATCCGGGCCCTCCAACATTTTGAGTCCGTACAGTTGCTGCTTCAGATGCAACTTGTTCGTGAGAGATTTCGACATATAACGGTTCTCCAATTTCTCCCAAACCTCCGCGGAGACTCAACGTCCATGATACATGATCTTATCCGCCAAACAAAGTCGAATTGTACCAACAGCTCACGCCTCGAGCTTTTTCCAATTGGCATTTGACGCAGCCTCTGACTTCTTCCCAAATAGTGCCTTCATCATCCCCTGCTGCGCCAACAAATCCTTCACCCTTTATTGCCATAATCCGAAATTCCCAAATCCGTCAAACTTGATCACATCGAATTTTGCAATCGAAGAACTTGCCATCTGAACTTGGGCTCTGGTTGTTGGATTTTATACACAATAATAAAGATATGAAATAGAGAAATCAACACAAGAATTTATGTGGTTCGACAGTGTGCCTACGTCCACGAGCGCGAAGCGGAAATGATATTATTCAGCATGAAAATAGGGTTACAACATTATTATTTGAACCGTTCTGGAGGTACAGTCTCCAACACAGTTTGGGTGACAGCCTCCTCACATGAGGAGGCCCACTTCGGTGGTGGGGCATGAGGAGGTGGGGCCTCCTCATGTGAGGAGGCTGTAAGTGTAAAGTCCTAAGTGGACTGTACACTTAGAATAAAGATTTTAAGGTCCGTACAAGAAAATACTATTGTAATCCCCCCCTACCAACTCATTCAGCATCCCTAATAACCAGACAGTGAATTAAACCCACATAAGGTCGATGCTGTCGCTCCGCTCCGTTTTGTTCGGTGCGCTACGTTCCCCTTCACTGCGTTCTGGCATTGGCCTTTTTGATCCAGGGAACGTGTGTTCCATTCTATATGAACCACATACACAACAACAATTGTCTAGAATCTTATTCTAGGATGGTGTGTGTGGAGGAAGAGAAACAACCGCTGTTTTATGATTATACACGGACAATTGAGTAGATTAAATAATTGTTTTATATGATATTGTATACTTGGTTTAATGCTACGGCTTCTACTTGTATAGACGGGTTGCCTCATTTTAAGTTGTTTCTTTCTTGTATTAATTGATAATACACTACTTATGTATTATCCATGATTAATAAAATATTTGATTAATTATCGGAAAAAAATTATTCGGAATCTATGTTGTCATCTAATCATTTTATTAATCACTATCCTGGTTTATGGCAGTTATTTCGGAATTAATACATTACACAGCGGTGAGAAATTTGGGTGAAGTTGCTTCTCAGATGCCCTTAATTCAAGTAATTGTTCCTCGGGTTATGAGTCAGAAAACACAGCTACTAGATCCTTCAAAGGTATAATTTCAGAATGCTTCTACAAAATCTCTCTCGTTTGGTGTGATAAATCTTCCTGAGATTGTATCTTCGTATTTTGATGAGGTTTATTACCCCTTGAGATCTGAACTATCTTACTGTTTTGGAGAAGGAATTCTGTCCTCTTCATTTCTGAAGTCATAAAACACTCAAATGTCACTTATTTTATTTTATTTTTTTCCTTGGCTGATGCTATCATTTTACTGGAGTGATTTGCATCATGCATCACCAAATTGACTGCTACGTAAAGGCTGTATGTGTTGATCAAATAACATGGCTTATAAAGAAGTCAAACTTAAGCAATTCTTTTACTTGCAAACATTTACGTCGACAATTTTGGGAGTGATAATGTCAACACATGCAAGGAAATTTTAGATCATGTTTGACCAATAATATGACTAAATACCCTGAATGATTTGAGAAAATTCCCTCCCCACCTACATGTATCTCTAATATTCTACTCCTCTTCCCCTTGTCGTTAATAATATTAACTGTCATAAATAATCTGTGACATTTCTTGAAGTTCTTTTTTGCTTCTTTTTACCTGAGATTATATTTGATTTATCTTTTTGTATTATGTGTTTGCTAAAAGGATGAGGAGGATGTGAAGGCAATTGCTCGTTTATTTGCGGATATGGGGGACGCATATGTTGAATTGATTGCAACTGGTATATAACTTCTCCTGTCAATGTTAGCTTATTGGCTTTATTACTTCTCTATTGAGCTTGATGTTGCCGATAGTGTTTATAAGTGTCTTTTTTCTGTTATTCAATATATTCTCTAGAAGCGTCTAACATATTCTGAATAAGCTGAGATAATCTCACTTCAAAATGATGTTATCTTCAGGTTCTGATGAGTCTATGTTGATTGTGCATGCATTACTCGAAGTTTGTTCCCATCCAGAATTTGATATTGCTTCCATGACTTTTAACTTCTGGCATAATCTTCAAATAATATTGACCGAAAGGTGAAACTATTTTGAATTCTAATTTCAGTATGTGCTTTGAAGCAACCGTTGACTTTGAAAGTTTTAATTGATCAGGGATTCTTATGTAGCATACGGTAATGAAGCATCAATAGAAGCGGAGAGAAGCTGCCGATTGCAGGTTTTCCGGTCATCCTATGAATCACTTGTTTCCTTGGTGAGTATTTTCTTTTCTCAATATATGCTTTCAGATTCAAGAAGAAACTCTTCTAAAGACAGTTGGAAATTTTATGCAGTCTTCCAAATTCTATATGTAGACGAATCATTCTGAAATCTTTAATAATACAATTTGTTCTTATCTGGAAAAGAAAGTATGTGCACAATCTTATGGTTGTCGTGTCGAACTATTCGGTGGAAAATATTTACTCCATTGCTTCTATTCCTCTTACCCAGGAGGGAAATCGCTTCTATGTTGTACGATAAGCATATGGGAACCTTTCTTGCATGTTTGGACGATATCTTTATTTTAACTGAAGAAGTTGAGGGTTTTAAATTTTTTATCGTGCAAGCTTTTTGTCATATAAAAATTGAAGATTTTTCATATGAAAGGGACTGATAAATGGTTGCTCAATCTAGGGCATGAAAGAAACTGTCATGGGAGCTTTCTTAGGGCTAAGTACCTGAGACCATTTTTGTCTGTGTTCCAGCATAATTGGTTTTATATAGGCTTCTGAGAATTTGTTGGTTTTGCATTTCTTTACTATTAACTTGTATAGTTTCTCACTAGTTTCTTCATGAGATTATTTTTTTTAGCACTAACATGCTTTTATATTCCTTTTTCTCTTGTAAAAGAAGGGAATGCTCTCTTATTTTCAATGATTGCCTACAATTAATTAACGATTTCTTCATAATTTTTTCCCTACAGACTAGTGTCAAAGTTGAATATCCCCAGGATTATTCAGAACTTTCGAGGGAGGATCAAAAAGATTTTAAACAGACTAGATATGGTATGGTTTGAAATGTCTATAGATAATATTTTGGCCTACAGTGTGCGTGTCAATTTCTTTAGTTATGGCATCATTGTAAATTTTGGAGACACGTCTTGGAGTCCTCTGTCAAGATAATAAAGGGGCAAGTAGGAAATAGATAGAATACTGCTCACTGATTATAAGCTACCTACCGCATTGGATTATTATTATCATTCTGTTGTTTTCTTTTCGTTTGATCTTATAAACTGAAACTTTCTTCTATAGATAATAGTCCGTATGTAGTTGACTCTGCTATCCATAGCTTTTGGTCAAAATTTAACAATTAATGACAAACACTTCGGATTTTCTGTTCGTATTCTTGACCTTAAAACTTCTGTTGAATGAAATCTCTTGTATACTTATATTGAATTCTCAGCTTCTGTAGTTATTCTTTTCTCCAGAAACTAATTGTTAAGGGTTTATGGCTGTGGTGTTGCACTGTTTGGTTTTCATTTCACCTAGTACATCAGTTTCAAATTTGATCAATTGGATAAATTAATGCTTGCATCTATTATCGTCATTAAATACTGTCACTGCAGAATATAGTGCCTCAGTTCTATACTTGATCTTGCAGCTAGGAAATTGCTCTTGAATAAATGTTGCTGCTTGTTTAAACTTTACTTGCCTCTTTTATTTGGTGAAAATGAAAGATGAAAAGGCTTTCTGCATCTACAACATTTTTTTGAAATTATTATCTGCTGTACTATTTTCCTGACCGATTCTGTCATGTTAACAGCTGTTGCAGATGTCCTTATTGATGCAGCCCTAGTTTTAGGCGGTGATGCTACACTGAGGATTCTTTATGTGAAACTTGTTGAGGTGCGTACTGTTTTCTTTGATGCAGTGAGAATGATAAGTACAGTTTGTTTGGTGTTTTTTTTTTTTTTTTTAATTGATAAGTAAAATGTCTCTGCTGAAATATTAACAAACGATATTTACTACCCGTTTTGTCTTATAATTCTGGAAGTTCTACTGCTTGTGCATTTTTGCATGTTTGGAGGGCAAATTACTGTTGCTTTGATAGGAGAGTTGTGAAATTTCAGGATTTGAACCTATGCATGTACAAGAGATTGAGGGATGTCATATTAAATCTCCATTGATGCTTTTGGAAAGACATTGGGTCCCTTTAAGAACTAGTAGATCCCACTGTTGGGGTTCTGAAGCAATTTGTTCCACATGATTATAATAAAACTTCCTATATCATTTAGGCAACTCCATTAGTAGTGGTTTTGGAATGGAAACCATGGTTACTTGTGAGAACTTTATGTTGGGTAAAAAGTTACATATGTGTAAACTGTCAAATGACCAAAAAGGAGGTTATGCATTTTTATGCAATTGATTTAAGTGGTTCATTATTCTAAATTTAAGTTACAAATATTCTAAATACATAGCTTAGAATTGATATGGTATAATATATTTTAGTCATCTTATTTCTAAATGGAATTTCTACTTCATTTATTTAACATTAATATTTTTTGTATAATAATTTTTGATATTAAGATATTAAAATACAAAAAAAATTGAAATATATAATATTTGAAATTAGAATATAGAAATAATTTACAAATTAAAAATATTAGAATTTTCATTTTTATTGTATATGATTTAATGAATATTTAAATAATTTATTAAACAGATAAAATGTAATAAAATATTCAAATAATATAAAATTTTGACATTTATAAATGAATAGTTTAATATTTACTAGATTATTCATGTCTAAATTATTTAAATAAATTTTTAGTACTTGATTATTAAATACTTAAGTTAATATTAATTAACAAGAGATTGTTAGTGGTAAAAAATTGTTAATACTATGTTCAAACTAACTGGTTACCTATGCCATGTCAAGTTAAACTAGTCTCTTTGAAGTGGCTTGCCTTGACCCGAAGAATACATGATTGGAGGGATTATCTGGGATCCTTAATACCGATACTTGGAGTGATCATCATGAACCTAAAATAAGAGATTTTTTTAGCAATTTTAAATAATAAGAATTTATGTAATTCGTAAACTTTTATTATTTAAGTAATAATTCTTTCCAATTTTTTTCAAATATTTTTTACAATAACGATACTTAGTAAGGGTATTCAAGTCATTTCATTTGTCAGGAGAAAAGAATTAAGTTATGATGTTAGCCCCTGCTTTACTGTCAAAGCAACTAACATTTCTTATTATTAAGGAAAATAAGTTACTTATATAACAGTCCAGAATGTGTTCTCTTTTACAATTTACTTTTACTTCACTTTGACTTATAAGCTCAGCAAACATGCTATTTGTTTATCGTTTTATAATTATAAGGAGAGCAAATAAAATGATGTAGTTTCTTGCAGAGCTTCCTTTTGCACCTGTTAAATTTCATATGGTTATTGAACCTTTTTCTTTCTTCGTGGAAAATAATTTTTTCAACGTGACTCATGGTGCAGACATTTTTCTATGACAATATTTCTTTTTGGTCAACTTTTAAGCAGAGCTTCTTCTTCTATTTTATTTTTATTTTTTTCCTCCATGATATTGTAGGCTGTAAGTTGCTTTGGAAATAATGAGCACACTGATTGGCGTCCGGCAGAAGCTGCTTTGTATGGTATACGAGCAATATCAGATTATGTTTCTGTTGTTGAAGGAGAAGTGATGCCCCAGGTTCAAATTTCCTTCAATTTCTTGCTACCACAACATGTTGTTTTAGGTTTTAATTACAAATTGTTTCCTATTTTATTCTTTTGTGTTCAGAAAATTCTAGGATTCTGTTAGATGTTCAGCTTTCCCAGGGTCTTAAAACTCTTGTTTCTGTTTTACTAATATTTTCTGGGTATTTTTTTTTCCTGGTCGCTTCTTTTATTTATTATGGATTATCCAACTAAAAAATGCACTCGGATGTGTTTATGTGTATAGGTCATGTCTTTGCTTCCAAAACTTCCTCATCAACCACAACTGCTACAGACAGGTAACATATGTTCCTTTACAGTTTGCAGATGTCCATTTTGTCACTTTCTGAAGATACCATTGTCAACTATCCTTATGGGGTTCATGGATTTGTTTGTATCTCAGAGCTGAAACCTTTCTGGCATTCGAAATATCATTCTTTTTGTTAGGTAAAAAGCAACTCACTTTATTTTTATTGCACTATCGTTTCTTCAGTATGCTTAACAATTGGAGCTTACTCAAAATGGCTTGATGCTGCACCAAGTGGACTTTCATTCTTGCCCGCACTCATAGACATTCTTGTTAGTGGCATGAGCATGTCAGAGGATTCGGCGGCTGCTGCTGCTTTGGCATTTCGACATATATGCGATTGTAAGATGCTCTTCTTTTCTGATATTCTCAATGCTCAGTGGTCTGTGGGATTGTGAGAGCTGGAAACAGAATATAATGCAAGGATGGTTTTGAGAAAGAGTTTTAGATAGTTGGTGACATGTTGATCGAACGTGTTTAGAAATTGTAAACATGTTCTTTTGCCAATTATTTGAGAACATTCACCAGTTATTCAACGAAAACATCAAATGTGTCATCTGCTTTAGTCATTACTCATGTTGTAGTTTTTCATGAGCTTTTAATGTACAAATTAAACATAGACATTTTCAGTTTTCCCAATTTGGTCTAGTCATGCAGTTAATACTTCCTATAAAATGGTTCTTCTTACCTTGAAAGGCTCAGTGAGAAAATGATGAAGGTTATCTGATTAGAAACATCATCTTTCCTTCAGAAATGCAAAATGGCACAGGAAAATTCCACTGAAGAGGCTTCTAAAATGTAGTGATACTTTTGATATTCATGCCTGAAAAAAGGGCTTCTTTTTTCTTAATTATTGTCTGTGTATGTGTGTGAGCAGCTGTGGGAGGTGTTCTTTTTTTACACTTCTGGAGAAATCTGTTTCATAGCTTGACAGGATTTGAAAACTGTGTGTCACTTGTGTTGCTCCATACGGGAAGGAGAATGTGGATGGTGATTTGTTTTTTATGTTTCCTTTTGATAAAGGTGTACACAAGTGGACTACTTTGCTAGAATGTGTATTGGGAATTTTTACTCAATCCACGTGTTTATAAAATATGATTCTTTGTAGCCAAACACTACTTGTCTGTGTACGCAATAGTTCTTTAGTTCTGATTTTTCACCTGAGCACATGAACTTGGAGCCTGCTGCTATACTCAATCATAGCTACACCTGAATAGATGACAAAAATTATTTTAAGATTTATTATCACTATATTTTATTGTGAATTTAGACTGCAAGAAAAAGCTCCGTGGGTCCTTAGATGGCCTCTTTCAAATATACCAAAGGGCTGTGATTGGGGAGACTGCCTTCAAGGTTTCTGCTGAAGATTCATTAAATTTAGTAGAAGCTCTAAGGTATGTTTTGATTTTCTAGAATCTAGATAAATAATGCAAAGGCAATGCTTTCTTTAATTGTCTGACCATCTTTTTCTGCAGTATGGTTATCACAGAACTTCCTTCGGAACATGCTAAGAAAGCCCTCGAGGCATTATGCTTGCCAGATGTCACCCCCTTGCAGGTTAGCATTACTCATTCTTGACTACTTGCTTTGTGGGTCTATTAATTAATTTCTATGGTCAACTGACAGGATATTATTAACCAAGGGCCTTTGGTGCTGGGGCAAAAGCCTGCTCGTGACCTAACGGTTCATATAGATCGACTTGCAAATATTTTTAGGCATGGCATCTATTTATTTATTTCTGTCTTCATTCCTCTTAATTGATCTAAATAATCTTATTGTGAAATGTAAACTTTTTCAGACATGTAAATCACCCGGAAGCTGTTGCAGATGCAGTCCAAAGACTGTGGCCTATCTTCAAACCCATTTTTGACCTGTTAGTATTCATATTATTTTTATAGATAATGCTCTTATACCATGCTAGATAGTTTACCTCCATCAATTGAATCTGAAGTATGCTGCTGCAGTCGTGCTTGGGATATGCGGTCCATGGAATCTCTTTGCCGGGCATGTAAAAATGCTGTAAGATTGCCTAGCTATTGACTGTGCCTATATTTCAGAGGTTCTGGTGTTCGTTAACGATCTTGAATGGTTTTAGACAATTATAATTGATGTGTCTACTGTATTCTATGTACTATGAAAAGAAATTTTCTTTTTCCTGTGATCATGAGGATAATGTCTTTGAATACCTTGATATGACCTCCAGGATCAGTCTATTGTATCTCTTGCAGGCTAATTACATGCTAGTATTTCTCCTCATATTAGTGAAGCATGTCTTATGATTGCTAATGTCCTGTGATCCACCAGACCTACTTATATCCAGCTACCGATTCTGTGTATAAATATCTTGCATATTTTATGTCTTTCCTGTATCACTTTATGTTGCTGGACTCTCCCTATTTTGGAGGAAGTATGGCATGATATGACAAGGCCATGGGATATTGGGATGCATATCTGATCCTTTCTAATAAATTGCATCTTAAGTTATCAGAATATAAATTTCTAAAAAATGTTCAAGTTCGTAAGACATATCCATGTACCCATGTCTAAATTTTGGATCCTTTTTAGCCGTTTACAGAAAAAGGCTCGTATCGGACACCCGCAGCCCAGTCCAAGCAACTTTGATATTACTTGAATGTATTGGATGTGCTTCAAGTCTTATTTAAAGAAGACACTAAACATTTCAGGTTTCCCTCTATGATAATTTATGATGTAATTAAGATTAACAGTTGTATGACCTGTATAAATACTTCCCTGATTATTCTGGAATCTATGCACACAAGCTTTTGTGTTTCAGTGAGTTAATTACTGGGTTTTGTATCCCTTAATAATAATTGATAAGCAGTATCATGATGCCATCACTTGCCAGTTATATTGCTCTAGTTAGCACTAAATCTTATACATTGGAACTTTATCGTTTCTTCGTTTGATGATTATTATTTTAATTTTGTTTCTAACATTGTGGACTACTTCCTCTACTTAGGGCACATAGTTGTGGAAAAAAACTGGAAATGCCATCACAATGAAGTTGCTTGTTTTATTTCCTTATTGTTTTGCCAGTTATCCGGATTACCTTCTGCTTTTTGTAGGTGAGGACTTCTAAAACGCTCATGGGAGTTACAGTCGGTGTGATGCTAGAGGAGATACAAGGACTATACAAGCAGCATCACCAGCCATGCTTCCTTTATCTCTCCAGTGAAGTTATCAAGGTTCTCTTACATAGAATTTTATTTTATTTTATTTTTTATTTTTTATCTTCACCTATATGCAAAACTTTTGCAGATGTTTGGGTCTGATCCCTCTTGTACAGACTACTTAAAGAACCTGATCGAATCTCTCTTTAGCCATACGACGTGTGTGCTGACGAAAATTCAGGTATGGTTTCATCAAGTATATTGTTGACTCCTCTAGATTTAGCTATGTAACTGATTTTTATGAGATTCATTTCTTGTTTCAGGACTTTACTTCTCGACCTGACATAGTAGATGATTGTTTCTTGTTGGCATCTAGATGTATACGATATTGTCCTCAATTATTTTTCTCATCTCCCGTATTTCCCTCCTTGGTGGATTGTTCAATGATAGGCATCACAGTACAACACAGGTTAACTCTGTCTCTGTCTCTGTCTCTCTCTCTCTCACCCCCCCCCCCCCCCCCCCCCCCCCAACAAAATAAAATAAAATCCCGAGACACGTGTCCAAGCACTTGCTTGCACATGCATGTTTTATGAATTTTATGAGCTAATACCCCTTAAAGTCCAGCTCGTTGCATGCAATTCTCTTCGTATATTGAGATGAGTCAGCATCACTGATCCCTTACAATGTGGACTTCTGGTAAATAGATGAACTCTAGAAATATAACATATGGATATCATCAATTTTGCCTACTTTGATGATGGATTACGAGATTAGATAATAGCTATTCCATTTTTTGCAACTTGCATTACTCAAGACTAACACTAGTTAAAGACTTATGTCCACACTCTGGGTGTTGCACGCTACGTGGTCTCTAATGGTGTCTGGTTCTTATTGTGGAGGCATGGGTTAGATATATCCACGGCCGAGTTTGCAATAATTTGATTACAATATTGTAACACACTATTCTGTAGCTACATCTCACGTACCCGCTTGTTGCTAGAAGTCATTTTTTCTGGTTCTTATCGTTTGCACAGGTTAGATAAATATCACAACCCAGTCTTCCCTTGTTAATTTGACCACATAATGGTGTAACTTGGTATTCTCCTGTAGCTGCTTCACATGTGCCCAAGATGGCCTCGATTTTGTGCTAAAAGTCACTTTATGTTTGCCTTAAGCTACCTGGCTTCACGTGCATAGAATTGTTCTGATGGAAACTAGTTCATGTACTATGGCCCCTCAAATATGGGCTTCCAATTTCCTTTCTGATAAATAATCAGCAAATTTGGAACATTACTGAAGCTATTATTGTTCCTCTGCAGGGAGGCCTCCAAGTCCATATTGAATTTCCTATCCGATGTGTTTGATCTTGCAAACTCTAGTCAAGGGAAGGGTTACCTATCTATCAGGGACAGCGTCATTATCCCAAGAGGGGCCATTATCACCCGACTTCTTATTGGTGCTCTGACTGGAGCACTTCCTAGTTCTCGACTAGAAACGGTAACAAGGACTTCCACCCCTTGCTCATGATTCGTCCAGAGTTGACATAGATGATAACTGGATCTGTTTCCTGGAAACTTTATCTTTTGCCCTGCAGGTAACATATGCTCTATTAGCTCTGGTTCGAGCTTACAGAGTACAAGCTCTTGAGTGGGCAAAGGAGAGCATCTCCTTAATTCCGTCAACTGCTGTTACGGAAGTCGAAAAATCAAGATTTTTGAAAGCATTGTCGGATGCGGCATCTGGGGCGGCTATCAATGGGGTGATGATTCCAATCGAAGAACTCTCGGAAGTTTGTCGTCGCAATCGATCAGTTCAAGAGATTGTTCAAGGAGCCTTGAGACCCTATGAGTTGAACATAGCCCCTGTATCATAGTGGAGAGAGAGATAAAGAAGGGCACTTTTTTTTCAGCCCTTATGTCTTTGAGTTTGAGGCTATTTTACTTGATTGGTCATCATTTGCCAAATTATATAGGTTGAAACGGGGGAGAGAGGGGGTTGTATTGTCTTGGTTTTGCAAGTTATACTAGTATAAAATCTGTAAGAAGATCAAATCATCTTTGGCTTGGTCAATTTTTTCTGAGGCAAAATCAGTTTTGGGTCATATTTGGGTTTCAGTGTAATGACTTTGTGAGTTGTGATATACCTTTCTTCATTTTTACCGTGTATAGAACGCTTCCAACCCAGTTGTATCGTGCCAAAAAAAAAGAAAAAAGAAAAAAAGAGGAAGGTTGGGTTCTTTCTGTTTACTGGTGTGCAAGTTAATTATGTTTTTTTATGGAAAAACATGTGTATCTATATATATATATATACATACATGAATGATCTCCTAAGCATCGGTGATATGACACATTATTTAATTGGTGAATCATTAAATACATGAGACCGGTGCTTAGAAGATTATATATATATATATATATATAGTGTTACATCTTGGTTGACATTCCATTATGTGGCAATCAATTTTGTCATTGATTTCTCCAACACTTATTTAAATCAATGGCCTTGATTTTTACACTAAGTGTCTATTTGAGTCACATTATTCCAAAAAAATGCATTCTTTAATAGTGATTTGACATCATTTCAACCACATATTCTTCAATAAAATAATATTACACGCAAATCAAAAATTTTTTCTTATTTTTTAATCATATATTTCCCATCAATACACTATTCAAGAATGCATTATTACCAAAATAATGTGGTTCAAACACTCCCTAAATGTGATGTCATTCAAGATGTATACCTTGGATGTACAAGTAAATTAATCCTATGAAAGTTTCGAATTATCATTTAATAAAACTTGACTTATAATGACTAACCTTTTCTTCCTTAATGCTATCTACTCCTCTTTAGCAATGTTTTAGAAAGTGTATAGTGTGAATAAGTGGTAAGGTTAATTTTTGAATGTAGATATGCTTTTTAACAAACATACCATAGGTGTATATAAGCAATGTTGATCAGATAAAGAGAGACATTAAATAAGCCTAGCTAGTTCAAAGAGAAAAACAGAAGAGAGTCAGGTTCTGCCTCACTTCCAAGTGCATGATATATTTACTGATGTAGATAATGTAATTAATTAAAATACCTTTTTAATCACGTGGTTATCTAAATAGCCAGGTTAAATTTTCATTTAAACACTAAGCTAATTATTCAGCAAAATTATCAGCGTATCTAAGTGATTCTGAACTGAAGCGCTTCCAAAAGTGAAATGGGATCCTTGTACTTCCAACCATTAAGTCACTACTTCTTTGGCTATAACCAAAAGAGAGAATCCAGTAAACACAAATCAACCATCGCCACAAGGTTTATTCCCAATAAATTTGGAGAGCTGCTTGAAACCTTTTTTCACTTCATTAAGCTAAGTTATTTTTCTCTCATTTTGGTCTATGCGACTTTCTAACATGTTTTTACTAAAATGCCATCACTCGTGTGAAAGGTTAAACTTATAAAGAGTGAACAAACTTATTCATTTAAATTATATGTTCAAAACGTCCCATCACGCACTCATAAATGAGTGATAACAAGATTTGAACTCGTGAATCAAACATATAAATTTAAATTATGTCTTCCCCGGTACCCAATACCTACCCTCTACCAACTTAAGCTCAGCACTCCATGTAGCTTTGAAACAATCTTTTTACGCTTATAAATGCAGCCACAATGCTACTAGTATATGCAATTCTTTCCTCTCATACTTTCTGGGAGATATATTTG